TTCAAGCTTTTTTTTGTCTGACTTACATCCTCTGTGTTCCAGACAAATAGACAAAAACAAACAAAAGAGGATTCCAGGAAATAGACAATGGAGCACAACTACACTTTGACAAACAAACAAAATATTTAAAATATCTTCAGGCAGACAGATTAATCAGATGTTTTGCCACAAGAACATCAGGGTTTTTTAGTGAACGTGTTATAGTTTAGATTGACCTCCAGATTGAGTTTTGCATCCAAGTTAGATCGGCTATAGATAGTCGGCTGTGGTCAAAATGTCATTGTCTGAAGCTCTGTGTTGGAGGATAAGAAATACTTGTCAGTCCAGAAGGATATCATGTCTAAAGAACCAGCAACTTCCAGAGGATGTCATTATTTTTCAACTTCCACTTTTTACTAAGGGTTCTGAGTCTAGAGTGACTGTGAAATGTTTTTTTTTCACACATTCGAAGTCTTAAATATTTGTTACTGCAACTAAAGTACCTGTTGGGGACTTTATGTAATACCTGTTGCTTGTCGTCCGCATGGTGAATTGGTGCAGGATGTGGGGTTGGAAGTGTAGGTTTAGTGCTGATATAACAGTCTGGCGGGCGTCTCAAGTGCACCTAATCTTTGGTATTAAAGATGTGCATACGTGCATGAGTGCATGAGGACGATTAAACCGTCCTAGTTTTGCTACATTTCCCTCCTTTCCTCTCTTCCATTCCCTCTCTTCCTCTTTAGGTGAAGCCATCAGGGTTACGTAAACAGCAGCAAAGGGCAGAGTGTCACTGACGTCTACAGTTAAGCATTTATAAGATCACTGAGTTGTGGCCACATTTACCCACTGCTCCTGGAGGATAGATTTGGAGTTGACCATGCATCCTCATGCCATTCTGCACAACGCCTCATGGAAAATTAAAAAGCACATAAAGCCAATTTTCCAAACGCATTTTCCTATGCATCTTTGTCAACACATGCTACATGGAAACAAGCTTTATTCTTCTATTCTCCTGTGTGTTAAGGAAATAGTAATTGCTGAATGGAAGAGGAAAAAATAAAGTGAGATTGCAATGTTGTACTGTTAGAAAGTTAAAGTTGAGAATGCTAATACGATAGTAAACATGTACCAATTTCCCACTGTTCCAGCAATGGCAATCATCTGCTGAAGTGTATCATCACTACTTACCTTTTCAGCAAACACATGGTTGACATTCATTCTCTACTGGTCCCTACTTGGCCTTTCACCAAATTCCCCTCATTCTGACAAATCTGACAAATCTGAGAAGAACAGGATATTTAGAATTCATCACAACGAATGCCTTTTATGGAAAACTCTGATCTTTGGTTAGCAGGATGAAAATGATCAGTGTCCCGTTCGGGTTGCGTTGGGAAATCTGTTCTTGCACTTTGGATGATGAATATAATTATTTTGTCTTTCGGGAAAGAAACATGAATATTGATCTAACAGAAATCTTTCCAGCAAGGTCTCTTGGCAGTTATAATGAAGCATGTTTATACATTCATGATTTGGTAGCGCATTATGAAAATGATCTTGCACAAAGAGTTCTTGGATGGACAGGTCAATCAAGGCAATCTCCCTTAACCACCATCTGCTCAGTGCATGTCAGGTCATCACCTGTTGCCCAATCTTTTCTGATTGCACAGGAAAATGCCTTATTCCTTACAGTTTTAACCATTTTAACACACCCATTTGCACATTTCTTGAATGAAGATAAAATATAACGCAGCAGACTTTAATGGTTCGAGAACAATAGAAAAATAAAAATAAAAATAAAAAAACATTACTTCCCCTTTTTACACATTTGCTATTCGGTCACATATTTACAAACTCATGTTGTGTGTCATGCAGGGAGCCTGACATCAGTGCACATGTCACAGATAATAACACAGACGACAGATTGTCAGATTACCAAAACACAAAGGTGAACTCGGTAAACTAAACCTGGACTAGGACTCTGATTGGCTCTGACTTATGAAGCCTTTGTATTGGAAATCACAGGCTCATGCTTCATTCAACAGTTGCTTTATAACATCACCCTGGCTAACATGCAACTACCCAGAGACTCACGCCATGTAAACACAGCACCCCCTCCCCTTTCTTTAACATGCAAGATCATGTGGCCTCCTTGTCTCTATGCGGCACAACAAGATCGATTTCATCCAGTTGTTGCACCACACTGGCAGAGAATACAAGCCGATTTAATCATAAATGGTTGAAAATGACGTGCAAAACATACAAAAAGCAACAGCTCTTGGGCAGGACTTTGTCTTGAAAAAATTTAATTCGATTTTTTGGCTGTTGTTTGGAGGTCATTTGCCAAGTCTGCCAGCAAAGAGCTTTTCATTTTGAGAGGTTTCAGAGCTGGTCCCTGTTAGTATCTGGGTCCCTGATATGTTATACCAACATAGCATCTCAACCATACTTAAACAAGACTGTGGCTGCTAGTGGAGATACAACCACTGGCATCATCATTGTATCTAAGATTAAGGATACAATATCTCACACACAAAAGATAAATGAAATCAAAATTATGAAAAAGAAAAAAATTGTCAAGCTTGTCTTTGCAAAAGGAGTACAACTGACTACTCCACTGTTAAATTTCTTAACTGAATTTATATAATAATGGCATGGAAGTTTCTTCGGTTGTCCTCTGAGCTAAACGGTTGAAGGTAAACACAGCTAAAAAGGAAATTAGTATAATGTGTATAATTGTTCATGGCCTGAGTGAGTCGAAACCAGTGTGTTTACTCTGCTGAGAGCTGTGTTTCCAGGACAGTGTGTGCACCAAGGTCCATCTATCTTTCTAAAACAAAACAGGCTGCAAATGATGTAGAATACAAGACATTGTGCAGGATTAGACGTGAGCCAAAATGAACACAGACTAACGCTGAGCCAGAGCATAGTGTCGTCCATGCCCTCCAGGACAGTCCCTGAGCTCATACTCAAGTGAGCATTGGAGGCCCGCGTATCTTTTATAGAGGGGTAACAAAAGTCGCAGTGAAAATGTGGATGGGTCTCTTCCTCTAATCACATGAAACTTTTTCCCCCTAGTTCAGTGTAAGCTCTAACTAGGAAGTAAAAGAGGTTTAACTTACCAACTAACTAACTAATCTTCCGTCTACCTAAATCTGTTCCTTTTAAGAAACAAAACCTAGTTTCTGTATGTTCTATTAAACTTATAATGACTCAAATGAAAGGTGCAGTAAGTGAGTTGAACCAAGATATGCTAGAATGTGTTTACTACAGGCTAGAAGGACCTACCATATTTTTTGTGAAAGCAGTTTCATGCTAAGACAGCTGTTGTGCACGTGTTTTATGCAACACCAAGAACTCATTGGCTTAATTGTTGAACCAATAGTCATGGGGGCATCACTGGTCCCCTCCAGCCTGGTAACACAAATCCAGAGCTGAGGCTTTGAACAACCAGGCTTAAGTACACCTATCTGATTTCAATTCTGCTGCCCTGGAGGTCTAAAAAGGTAATTAGGGTTGTCAAGTTTGAGGTTTCACACAAAATGAAAGTAAACATTAAACACAGGGTGATGCTTGTATTGACCTTGTACATAATGTTAACAATACAACTTTTTTTTTAGTATGCATAGCATACTTTATGAAGACAATTACTAACACAAGAACTGAATTACTCTGATAACACAGCTCTGAACCTGGTTGAAATTTTTCTTGCATCCGTTCAGTAAAAAGGATGATACAGGTTCGTAAACCGAGAAAAAATGGACACATTGGAAACAGAAGCTGACATGCATATTTCTCTTTAATTGTCTGAAACATATAAGCCCCTTAAATGAATCAATAAAAACTAAACAAAAAAGAATCAAACATCTGTCTAAATGTTTAACCAAAAACAGTTATATGGACATAACAAACTGACTGTGTTGGCTTAAATGAAATCCCCTTTTAAATAAGCCCATCTGGTTTATTGGTATTATCTGGCACTGATGCTTGACATTGTAGAGTAATATTGCTTTATTTTTTGGTTTATTCTTCTATTTCTAGAATCAAAGAAAAATCATTTGTATAGAAACCTTTAAAAAAACAGGAAGGAAATCATTTCTAAAAAAATAGAAATCATTAGGGACTGTCACATGCAGAAGCACGAGTTACACAGAAATCCTACTGGAGACTCTTGGTTACAGTCTTTCCTCTCTCCAAACCATTCATTGTTGAGAGGACAGGTTAAAGGTGGCAAGTGTTGAAAGTGGCAGAGTTGATGAGCAGAGTCTGAGTCACAAGCAGCATGCTCTATCTTGGGCAACGATAATTAATAGGCCATATGAGAAAGTCAATAGAAATTGGATTGTGTGGCTTGCAGGCAGCAGATGCAACAAGCTGCCCTCCTGCTGTGGGTTTTTTTTTTTCATCCTGACGTTTTCTGAAACATCTACTGAATTCGGACTTCCCTGTAATGAAGGAACATGAAAGCTCTAAAGGGATGACACAAAGTAATTCGTGTGGGGAATAACAGAGGTAGAATGGGGAACAGCTACAAAGCTCGCTAACCTCTCCACTTGCTGGATGTGCAGCTGCGCCCTCGTCTGTTTCCATCACCTTGTCCCGATGCTTCTCTAAACTGTATGTCTTCTTATTACTGGTCACTGAGAGGGCACATGAAGCTTGGGTTTGTGCGCATATAGTCTGACTTTCCCCTGAGTTATATATCATTTGAAAAAGACAAAAGCTGCCTGTAACGGAAATGTTGATGCTTTCAACGTTGTCAAAGTTCTTTAATGCATGTACACTGCACAAACATACTGAGGTATGCAAGAGCTCATAAAAAGATTTAATTTCCTTAATCTAATTAGTTGTAATTGGTCAATATATAGCTATTTATTCTGCATGATTTAAAAGCACATGCTCGTATCAGTCCAGTTTTCTTTTAACAAGGGGTGAACGGAGCTGACGCACAAAAACAGCCTTAGTAACGTTTGGATTTCGGGTCGTTCTCCAGCTCCCCCAGCTGCAGGGTGACGCATGACGCACTGGAGGCGCGGCAAACTTCGCCTATAAATGGTCAGCCCGCACTTTCCCAGTACCGGAGACCAAGCGAGGCCACTCTCATCATCTCACTACTTGGATTGAAACCCATTTCGGGGCAGCACCTACCACACAAAAAGCTGCAACCTGCAGCAGTTATGATTAAGAAAATGTCGCCATCGGAGAATGAGTTTGACATACCGGCCAAGAACTGCCACCGGATGGTGATTCTGGGCTCCACTAAAGTTGGGAAAACAGCCATCATCTCTCGGTTTCTCAACGAGAGGTTTGATGACCAGTACACTCCTACCATCGAAGATTTTCACAGGAAATTCTATAGCATCAAGGGAGACGTTTACCAGTTAGACATTCTGGACACTTCTGGGAATCATCCCTTCCCTGCGATGAGGAGGCTTTCAATTCTTACCGGTAAGTTCAACTGTGAAACCTCTATAAGCCAACATAATGTTGCCTGTTTTTCACAGAGTGTCTGCTATTATTTGGCATTAAAACCCGTCTTCTCTTGTGTTTTCCAGGTGATGTATTTATCTTGGTATTCAGCCTGGACAACAGAGACTCTTTCCAAGAGGTGCAGCGTCTGAAGCGTCAGATACACGAGACCAAATCCTGTCTGCGAAACAAAACAAAGGAGAACGTGGACGTCCCGCTTGTCATCTGTGGAAACAAGTGCGACAGGGACTTTTACCGCGAAGTGCAGAACGACGAGATCGAAAAGTTGGTCGGCGGAGAGGAACATTGTGCATACTTTGAGATATCGGCAAAGAAGAACACCAACGTTGACCAGATGTTTCAGACTCTCTTCACCATGGCCAAACTGCCAAACGAAATGAGCCCCGACCGCCACTGCAAAGTTTCCCTGCAGTACCGCGACGTTCTGCACAGAAAGTCCTTCAGAAACAAGAGGTGCAAGGACGGGAACGCGTACGGGATTGTGGCCCCGTTTGCGCGGAGACCGAGCGTGCACAGCGACCTGATGTACATAAAAGAGAAGGCGATAGGTGGCAGCCAGGCCAAAGAGAAGGGCTGCGTTATCTGCTGACACTTGTCCGTGCGCACTCTTCTCGCTGTTGAACTACACAGAGCCATCGCAGCCAGTCAGTCTGCCACGAGGAAACACAAGACCGTAAACTGTAGATATCCTGAGCCAAACTGGACTGAGACACGCAGCATTAGACTTTCCAAATATGCTGTAAATCTGTCTCTGTTGGCTCTCTGGGAGCAGCACTGGAGGAGAAAAGTTTACATTTTTGCTATATTTTTTTCTAAACATGGTCAAACTTGAAAATGTGATGCAGAATGAACAAATTCTACATGTGTATTTATTATGTCCATGTCAATTTTTGAACAGTTCAAATGAAAATAAAAAAAACATTGCTACTTTCATAGCCTGTCTTCCTCTTGTCTTTCAGTGCAAACATAACCACAACCAACAGTGTACATTTTTGAGCATTCTATTGTTTCCCATGTTTGGATATTATTTTTCATTTGTTAGGAACTCAAAATTTGTCATACCGCTTTCATGAAATACATGAACAATTCAAAAGGGGCTCCACACATGCTCCCTGAATTGTTTAAGGCACATTCTATTGTTTCCCATGTTTGGAAATTATTTTGAATTTGTTAAAAACTCAAAATTTGTCATACCACTTTCACGAAATACACGAACAATTCACAATGGGCTCCACACATGCTCTCTAAATTGTGCATTCAGTTGGGATATCTCACTTTAACATTTTATAATAACAATCCTAGTTTCAAAATTACTCCTGTAGAAACAAAAAATGACTTAAGACAAAGGTCAGGATATCTATAAATGACACAGGCAGAGGGTGATACTACAAAAAGCATTTTAATTGCAAAATCCATACTTTACAGAACAAGAAAATGTAGCATTGACATTCCACTTTATGTATGCATAACACAACTGAGGACAAAAAAAACTTGCTGCACTGCAATACAAATAAGTGGGAGAAGGTAGGGGGCGGGGAACGTTGGGCAGCATCCATCATGTGTCCTCCACACGTCTTTATAAAGTTAATATTTATGTAAAAAGTGTCTTTCACCACCACCATGCCTGCGTTTCCTTCTGCCCGCGATGGAAACTTTGCTCCAGTCACGAAGCTTTGGGCACATCAAACATGCACAGGCCCTTGTATTTCTGCAGCAGCTGGTTCTTGGTGCTGACCTGCTCTCGCAGCGTGGCCAGCTGCTGCTGCTGCTCCTGCGGACTGCTCTCTATTCCGGGCATGTTGGAGATCTGCTCCCGTGCTTCTTGGATCTTTGTTTTGAGTTTCGCCAGCTCTTGGTGGACATCCTGACTGTCCTTGTCCATGCTTAGTAAAATATAAGGTAGAGAGTAAAAAAAAGAAAGAAGAGGTTGTTATTGTTATTGTATACTTTTCAACACTTTGACATACGTCAATAGAAATGGCTATCTGTTTGCTTTAGCAACACATAAACCGGCGCTATTCTTCTATATTCAACGTGAATACAAATAGTATCACTACACAGGACTTGGTCTATGCACTTACCATTTTATAATATCATGGACCAAAGGTAACAAAGAGCAATCGTCCGTCTCCTTCTCAATCTTGGGTTGAGCCACCGCCATCATTCCCTTCCTCTCCGGCGCAGATTGATCACGTCATGGTAAAGCGTGATGTCATCACAAGCTGCGATTTCAGAAACAAGCCGCGAAAGATTGGAATTGGTCACGTTAAGATACCATTTCAAACACAATTTGTTGTAATTTTACTCATCTAGTTTACAAATTGAGATTGAATTACATGAACACTTTTTGAATGATATTTTTATTATTTTCATTTGTATGTTCTTTGATTGTTTTTATCGTTTGATTAACATTTTAATGAAATGTAATATTATCCAGTCTTTACAACGTGGAAGATATGGATCTCATTACAGGGATTTATGTTGTCAGTTCTTTCCTCTAATTCTAGTCTGTGATTGCACAATTTCAAATTGAGACGACTTGTTTTTACTGGTTCAAAAATAAATTCTACAGGCAGTGAGCTGATAAAAGAACTAAATAATTTTACAGTCAAACAAATAGAGCTCAAAATGATATATTTCACCTTTATTTCAATCTCTTGCAGAAAAAATATTGAATATAATCTAATTCTTTGAGTGGTACATTATGCCTTTAATCAACTGAATAAAACATGTAAATTATGCTGCATATCACAGTTCTCACAAATTAATATTCACTTAAATGATGGTTCATAATCCCCAGATATAGGCCATATTGATCTATTAATACACAGAACAAACACACCTGACCTATGATTGGGGCAGAGCCTCAATGCTCCACATCCTGCTACCTAGCAACCTGAAGTATATGCAATGAAAGTCAACCCACTAAATCTACAACTGTGATACATGGCATGTATGAAGAGTGAAACATGGCAACTTGTGTAAACAGTGATGCGCATGGTAGCTGCAAATGTAGTTTAATGGAGGCTAATGCGTCATACTATATATCTATTTTACAGACAATTTAAGGGATGTATTCAGGTCATGCACGCCTGTCTGGGTGTCCCACTTCCTTTACTTTCACACATGGGGTGGTAATACATAACAGGGAAATGGATGTAAGGGGAAGAACCACACACTGTCGACAACATCTTGATGGCTTACTTTGTACAATATTTTCTCAGTGAGAGTTTATAAACTGTCAAACGCTGCTGGTGACAAACACCAAAGCAAATCTATGTCTTAGTGTCATCAGTCAAGCAAACAGCTGTGGTTGTACAAAAGTGAACTGTTTCTTGTCTCTTGTGGCCATTGACCCACATTCCAGTGATATAAGATGTCGACTTTTTGAATTTGCAAGGAGGTCACTCAGTGTTTAGTGCATGGTAAAAGGGAGTTGTATGAAAACTTTGATGAAGATCATCATATCCAAATAACTTTTCTTATGATGCTATCAATTAATATTTTCTGCAGTGCCAATAGGGATGGCTTTTATTTCAGACACATTCAAAATTTGATACCCTCTATAGCCCACACTCTCATTACTCATATCTCCTTAATTACATAGGTTGTATGGCTGACCTAGATTTTGATTTACAGGGCATGAGGTTACCCAGGTGTTTTACCATTTGGGTCATGAGGAAAGCTGTGGCACGGTCATAAGGTCTAAAAACTCGGAACATGTCATGATCCAACAGCTTAATCTCACACACAATTTTACATGTCTTAGTGGAACAGGTTGCTAATTGGCTCTGCCTGATATCACATAATCAGTCATAGATGAACATGTATCAGGGACTAAATATTATAACACATCCTAACTTTGATTTTCTGTTTAGCAAGTCTCTTTGTTTGAATTTGAAGGCAGGCAGTGGTTGAAGGAATTATTAAAACGTCAGTTTCCATTTCAAAGCTGATCTCTAACATTTTCCCAACACTTATGAAAAAATTAATTCAAACAGTGACAACAGGATCTTTACTGACATTTGACCCACTTTTGAGCAACGGAGAGAAAAGTTGCTGTTTAAGCGACATCATGTGTATTGTTGAGCATTGGTATTCAGTGTTTATTTGATATACAAAAAGTCAAATAATCAATTTCGTTAAATAAGGTAAAGATAGCACACTGAAAGATTGCAGAGGTCTCTTGGAGGAAAAATCCAAAGTCCCTGTAAGGACACATGGATGAAGACTTATTTTAAAAGCATTGATTCTGCACTTGTATCATCATTAACTTTACTTAAATCTTGAGAAGGAAAAACGTAGGCCTCTAACATCGTTAGGGAAGGTTTTTATTTTATTTCTATCAATCAAAATTTAATCACATTCCTTCAGTTTACACTCACTCTGTCTTTCTGGTCTGAGACTGTTCCTCTATATTCCTCTGCATTCATCCTACTTTTCTCATGTAAACAACAGCAGCTGGACAAAGAACTTTTTCCTTTTTTGTTATGATGTACATAGTAAAGAAAATGCCAGAAATATCCTTTCAAAAATAAACATAGGCACTGAGGAAATTCTTTATGTTTACCATAAAGCTCTTTGAGATCTGCAGCATGTGAACTTAATTTTGCCTATGCGATTGAAAAGAAATTTAATACTTGCATCCTTTTCGTTAAATTTTTTGTGCAGTTCTGAGAAACGGACAATAATCAGTTTCAATGAACGGGTTTCTCCCATCCTAAGCCTCATGACCACCAACAGTTCATATTCTGACCCTGAACAGAATTTCCCATGCTTGAACAAACCATGAACTTGTTCATCTTCTCCGAAATCATCTTACATGAAGTTCAGAATACACTGTATGACTAACAAGGGAGCCATGGATAATCTTTTGGCCTGGGTGAGTTCAAGGCACTTCCGTTAAAACCCATTTATAACAGTCCCCAAGTGACTTGCCTAACCCGACCCACCCCTGAAATGACGTGACAGGGCAGCTGTCAGTTCAAACAGATCGGCCACATCCCAGCATCTCTGGCAGAAAGCTGGCAGGATGCAGATGTCCAGCTGATCTGCTGTCTAATCTTAGCCCTCCTCTTTAGATGAAAGACACAATCAGTCACGGCAGATATAAGTCACCCTCAGATGAATAACTTTTCTCTCCCCTCCAGAATGAATGGTAGTTTCACAAAAGTTAAAAAATTCTGAGCATCAAGGAGATACCACAAGACTGCTGTTGCAAAACAAATTCTTCCACAGAAAACTGATTTATTCCCATCATGTGAAACCCTAGTCAAGAGATATTTCATTGAAATGAAAGGACCTATTCATTGCCGGAATAGAACTGATTTATAATAGATAGATAGATAGATAGATAGATAGATAGATAGATAGATAGATA